GAAAAGCTGCTGTGTATCCATTGGCATTTTACGGTATTCATGGAAAATCTTACAGCAGGTAATTTGTCTATCCATGATGTATGATCATCTGAGGTAAGTATAGCTAATTGTGTTTTTAGATCTCTGTTCTTTCTTTCGACAGGATTGGATTCTGGGTGGTAGACAGGTGTTAAACATTGTTTAAATCCTAAACAGTGAGCTAATTGTTGCATAATAGAGCCTACGAATTGTACTCCATTGTCGCTAATAATTCTCCTGGGCACTCCATATTTAAGAATTATTTCATCGGTCAGGCAGCGTGCACATGAATCAGCTGTAGCAGTTTTTAATGGGAACAATTCAGTCCATCTACTTGCGGTGTCTTCAACAATAAAGATCCAACGATATCCATCAGGAGTTTCTGGCAGAGGACCAAAAAGGTCTATGGAAATAACTTCAAATCTTTGTGCTTGTATCGGAGTTTGTAAGAGACCAGCAGGTTTTAAGTTGGTTGGTTTATACCTTTTGCATTCGATACATTGTCCAACATAATCGGTTATGTTTCTTCTCATTCCAATCCAATAGTATCTTCGTGCAATGCGTTGGTAAGTACGTTCAATACCATAGTGTCCTGCGGTTTCCATATCATGGTATTCCCGTAAGATATGAGGAATTTGGCTAGAGGGTATTACTTGTTGCGGTTCTTCTTCGTCAATATCTGGATTATAACGAAATAGAATTCCGTTTGACATTATATATCCATGTTCAGCCCATTCCTTGAAGTCAGTACTAGTGGCGGAGGATTCTAGGTCAGTAATGATTTTACGAAGCTCTGGATCTTCTAGTTGTTCAGCTCTAACGTCACTAGCGGGTTTATTAGGTATTTCGACACTAATCATGTTGATGGAATCAGGTGACTCGTCAAGAACAGGTCTGGACAAGGTGTCGGCAATTACATTCTTCTTTCCAGTTATGTAATCTATATGTAAATCGAACGCTTGTAAGCTCAAAGCCCAACAAGCAAGTCGTTCGGTTGGGGTCTTCAAAGGCATAAGCCATTGTAGTGGTTGGTGATCACTTTGAACAAGAATTGTGGCTCCTTCTATATATCCGCGAAATTTCTGGATTGCCCAAACAATAGCAAGAGCTTCTCGTTCAGTAGTGGTGTAGTTCTGTTCAGCGGTTGTTAACAATCTGGATGCGTATTCAACAGGTCGTTCGTCTGCGCCCTCCCCCTGGAGTAAACATGCTCCCAGAGCATAGCTACTGGCATCAGTGCGTAGTATATATGGTAACTTCGTATCTCCTTGACGTAGGATTGGGGCTGAACTTAGCAACACTTTTAGCTGATCAAATGCTTCTTGTTTTGGTAGTTTCCAATTCCAAGTTGCATTCTTTTTCGTAAGTATCGACAACGGTTTGGATACTTCAGCAAAATTGTGGATAAATCTCCTGAACCAAGAGCAAGTTTGCAGGAAACTGAGCAACTGCTTAACGTTTTTGGGCGGCGTCATCTTCATTATCGCTTCAACTTTTGAGTGGTCGGGTTGTACACCTTCGGGAGAAATAATATGTCCAAGGTATCGAACAGATTTACAGCAAAAGAAACATTTCTTCCTATTCAGTTTCAGTTTAAAGGTGTTAAGTCTTTTAAATACCTTCTGAAGATCAGCTAGATGCTCTTCAAAACTTGAGGAAATGACGATTAAGTCATCTAGGTAGGTCAATAGGAGAACTTCAGGTATTCCAGATTTGAAACGATCCATCAACTTTTGAAACGTTGAAGGCGCTGTGGAAAGTCCAAAGGGCATTCTGATATATCTGTACGTACCAAAAGGGGTAATAAAAGCTGTCTTATCTCGATCTGAGGCTTTGACATTAACTTGGTGATAACCGCTTTTTAGATCTAGGGTAGTCATGTAATTTGTTTTCTTAGCTTCATGAAGCAGATCATCGATTCTTGGCAACGGATATTTGCACGGTCTCGTCACGGCGTTTAACTTTCTGTAGTCTACAGTTAAGCGTATTCCATCATCTTTCTTAGGTACTAAAACAACTGGAGCGGCGTAAGGTGAGTCACATTCTTCTATCGTACCATTTTCGAGCAATTTGTCAAGTTCGTTCTTGAGTTGTATCTTCTTCGGTTCTGACATTCGGTATGGAGGAACTGCGATGGGATTGTCATCTGTCAAAACGATGCAATGTTCTGCGTATGGAGTTGGTTCGTTACTACTCTCGAAGACTGTATGATTTTCTTGTAAGAGACTATTTAAGTTCTTCCTTTCTTCTGGTTGCAAAGAACTACCTTCTTCGTCTCGTAGAATTATCTGAGAAAAGGTTACAGTGTTGACTGAGACTAGCGAAACAGACTCCTCTGCGGTAAAGTTGTAACATTCATGTGGATTTTCACCAAAGAAGTATGTCTTGTTTGGAATATCAAGGATAACGTTAGCCTTGTGAATGAAGTCTACACCTAGTAATGTACGACTGTTTTGATGTTCTGGGACAGCTAACATCTCTATAGGAACACTTCTACCATGAAATATGATTTCAATGTCAAAAATATGGGCGGTAACTTTTCTTCTAATACCATCAGCAAGTGTCATTTCAAGGTCGTTCTTGATAATGTATGGTATATTGTCTTTTAATAGTAGTTGAGCTAATGCAGATCCGGCAACACTGGATTTTGCACCTGTATCTAAGTAAGCATATCCATTATGATGATGTATACTTATGGGAACCAATGGCCTAGTCGATGGTGATTCGTGGTTGATTGTGTTACAGAGGAATTCGGTACTCATCACAGAATGGTCATCTTCATTCTTCTTCGGAGAACATTTTGGACAGTTGCTTCTGATGTAACCTGGATTTCCGCATCCATAGCACGCAATACCATCATTCTTCTTGGGCTCTTTTTGAAATACAGCTATGTTACTTGAAGCAGTTGGTTGTGGTACAGAATTTCTTGAATCTGCTGACTGAGTTTTCTTCAGCTTGCGACAGTCTTCTTTTATATGGCCAAAATTACGACAATACAGACATCTTGGACGTTTATCTTTGTCTGCGTGGACGTTTGTCTTTTCATTTTGTGAGTCGGTGCGTTCAAACGTTTCTTCAACTAGTCTAGCTTGGGATAGAAGTTCGTTGAAGTTGTTGATTTTGTTGCGAGAAAGTTTTTCACGTATTCTTCGATGTAGGAGTCCATATACCATGTCTAATTGAGTTTCTTCTGTTAGCGTATTATTTGGAAGTTGTTCTAGCAAGAGAACGGGCTTTACAAACGAAAATGTCAGTAGGTGTACTTTCATCTTGTTCATTTGCAAATAATTCACGATACACACGATAGGCAGGTTTTTGCGGTCCAAACGTAAGCTTCAAAAGATCAATTGCTTCTTTCCAGGTACTTATGGTAGCTTTTACACCTTGATACCATACGGCAGCGAAACCATCTAGTAACATCGGAAGTCCTTTCAACGCATTTTCATCTGATACTTGCGCACAGTCTTTATATATCGATACGGAGTCAATAATGCTTGAACACTGGAGATTTTTGCACCATCAAATCTCGATAAACAACCAGTAAAATTTCCATTTTGAGCTGAAGCAACTTGAGTAAGATTTTGATTACCTACGGAAAGTCTGGCTAAGAGTTGTTGAAACTGTTCATCACTCATTGTTATTGACGTCATGTTTTCGTTATTTTGAGGGTAGTTCTGACGGGAACGTAAATTATATCTGTTTGTGTCCGTGGTTGCACAGAATTCGATGGGTATTTATAAATACTGTTGATTTTCTTGAACCGTGAGCACACTGATGTAAAAGAAAGTCTTACTTGAGTGTTTTGTTAGTCCTTAATCAGTTAAACCATTCGCGAATTGAAATTTCGTGGAGAACTGGGAGCAAAACAAATTTCTGTCCAATCCAAGGATTTTCTTCAAAACGATTACGTCAAGAATGATTTGGATACGTGGTATCGCTCCTGACTTTTTTGGGTGTGTGACGTCACAACTAACGATTCGGCGGGATTAACCTCTTCTTGAGCAATAATTTTCAAAGAATTGATTAATACAAGCTTTTGGACTTACAGTTTCTTGTTTCAGGAAAGGATTGCCAAAGATCCGATATAGCTTTACGACTGCAAAGGCTTATTCGGGGCGAATCACTATGACTGCAAGACTTCGGTTTTTTGGAACAATTCTATTTTTCACCTTTTATGGTCCACGATTGGGCGCAAATTTGTGACGGGGTTCCATTACATTTATTTTGTGGGGTGTCGAACCATAAATTTTGTGACAAAACTCGAAGAATTTAACAAACACTTTTAATAATAAACTCTACGTGACAATACTTTCACACTACTTAAGATACTCATCATATGTTAGGGTACGAACATAGTGGAGGCAGGTTTCTGTTTTCCAGCAACCAGCGCCGTCTCTGGGGACCTATTCTTGACCACATATCGCTCACATCTCGCATCTCCGAAAAAGCCATATAACAATACACGTGATGCGTAACTTTGCGTATATGCCGTGTATTGTTATATGGCTTTTTCGGAGATGCGAGCAGGGTTCGGAAGTAGTTAATTAAGAGGAAATTTACCTGATTAACTAACCTAACCTAACCATATTCAAAGCCGCTCCCGCCGCGCCGGCGCCGCACATAGGGGTATTTGGTCTATAAACCTGGCCAAAAGTGAAATATTTTTATTTTCATTTTTTATCTTAACTGAATACAAATTGTGGGGTTGCTAGTCCCCCATCGGGCGCGTCCCCGGGTGGCGGATAGGGGGATGCCTCCCAGATATGGGTAGTACCGGGGAAATGAAATACCCGGCGCGGACCAAAACTAGCACTGAGGTGTGGCAGCTGGCATCTCAGAACTGTGCACAGGCATGTGTTATGGAAACTAAACGGCTGTGCAACGGGCATCAAACGGCGCGTGGGAACCATTGGAACGGCGTTTGAACAGCGGTGCAGAAAGCCCTGGAAAACTACTGCACTATGATTCCAAGAATGACAACCATGGCAGAAGTACAACAGATGATGGCCCCTAGTCCGTGGCAGGCTTTCAATAGCCAAGGGGTGCTAAGAATACCCACGAAGAAAAATGCTAGGACCCACCCGAAAGTGGACACATCTCCAGGTCTTAAGCTGGGAACCTGGAATGTAAGAAGCCTGTATGTGGCTGGTAAGCTGGATAATTTAACACAAGAAATGGAACGCTGTAAGGTAGATATAATGGGCCTTAGCGAAATCAGATGGCCGAACAGCGGCCAATGTACAACCGAAAAAGCAACACTATACTACTCCGGAAACAATCAACCTAACCGCTTTAATGGGGTTGGATTCATAGTCAATAAAAACGTGAACAACAAGGTAAAGAATTTTGTGGCATATTCGGATAGGTCAGCCCTCCTGCAGCTCAAGGCTGATCCCGTAGATCTTAACATCATACAGATTTACGCTCCAACGACAGACAGGCCAGAAAACGAAGTAAAACAACTATATAAGGAAATAAAAGAACTAATGAAACTGGTGAAGAAGAGGGAGATCCTGGTGGTTATGGGTGACTTTAACGCCAAAGTCGGTCAAGGCCGCGTGACAGACGTGGTCGGGGAGTATGGCTTAGGAGAACGCAATGAAAGAGGTGACACGTTAGTTCAGTTTTGCCAAGAAGAAAAACTGATCATCGCAAACACATGGTTTAAACTTCCCCCAAGAAGGCTATACACCTGGCAGTCACCGCAACACACACCAGATTATGTCGTCAGGAACCAAATAGACTTTCTATTAATCAGCCAAAGATATAGAAATGGATTAAGTGGAGTAAAAACATATCCAGGGACCGATATTGGATCGGACCACAACCCGGTAATAGGAACACTAAAAGTAAGACTAAAGAAATTAAGACGGGCGCCGAGAAAGAAAGTCGACATGAACAAATTAAAGAAAGCTGAGATAAGAGCGGAAGCAAAGGAGGAAATAAATAGGGAAATTGCCAAAATCAGGACCCTGCCTCAACCACCGGATGATGTCGGAAAAACATGGGACCGTTTGAAGAACGCAATAGTCACCACTACAAATAACATAGTTGGACCACCTACATACAAAAGGAGGAGATGGATGACTGACGAGATTTTGTCGCTGATGGCTGAGCGCGGTCTGTGTAAGAATAGGGATCAAACCAAGTACAAAGAAATTGATAAACAAATCAGAAGGGAAATACGCAGAGCTAAGGAGCAGTGGATGGAAGATAAGTGCACTGAGATCGAGACAATGGAAGAAAAAGCATGACCACTTCAATATACACAAGCTCGTAAAAGAAACAACAGGACGTACAAAACATTACAAGTCAAATAGTATAAAAGATGACAGTAACGAACTCATAACTGACATTAGCAGCCTACTGAACCACTGGAAAGAATACACCGAACAACTATTCCGCGAAAATGAACAGAGAATCTTTACGGATAATTGCGCTGGCGAAACCGCACCCAAAATACTAAAGTCAGAAATCATAAAGGCCATTAAACAGGGAAAACAGGGAAAAGCAGCAGGACCAGATGAGATTTATATAGAAATAATAAAACTGCTGGACGAGGAAAACATTGAAGTCTTGGTGCAAATGTTCAACAACATATATGAGTCGAGTCAAATACCACAGGACTGGCTACACTCGGTGTTCGTACCCTTACCAAAAAAACCAATGCTGACCACTGTGACCAGTTTAGAATGATCAGCTTAATGAGCCAGGTCTTAAAGCTCTTCACAAAAATAATTCACGGAAGAATATACAACAGATGTGAAAAGGAGATCAGCACCACACAGTTTGGGTTTAGACAGGGATTTGGCACAAGGGAAGCATTATTCAGTCTGAATGTTCTTCTTCAGAAGTGTCGAGACCAGCGAAAGAATGTATGCGTGTGCTTCATAGATTACCAGAAAGCCTTCGACTGTGTCAACCACTCGGAACTTATAAAACTTCTAGAGGAGAAAATGGTGGACAGGAACGACCTGGCATTCATAAAAAAGCTTTACTTAAACCAGATAGCATCGGTGAAGGTAGGAAATGAAACCACCTCTAGTTTTCCAATAGAGAAGGGTGTAAGACAGGGTTGTGTCTTGTCGCCTCTCCTCTTTAATTTGTATTCGGAGGCCATTTTTGACAGTGCCTTAAAGGACACAGACGACGGCATAAAGATCAACGGCTACGCGGTTAATAACCTTCGCTACGCTGATGATACAGTCATCATTGCTGATAACCAAGAAGCATTACAGCGACTTATCGATAGAGTATCCGCGGAAGGCGAGCGACTCGGTTTAAAAATCAACATCGATAAGACGAAGACTATGATGGTTGGCAGAACCCCGATCGACCGTCTAAACATCTCGGTGAACGGCCAACAGATTCAACAGGTCCCGAAGTTTAAGTACCTCGGCAGCTGGATTACCGAAGACCTAGATCCTTCACTACTCTCAGGGTAAACATTGAAACGGATATAAATATTGAATATTTTTTACGAGAAACATGTTTTTCCACATCAGACCTTAATCAAATAATTTAAGATCATTTTCAGGTAAAATGGGCTTCATTTTCTATAAGAAAGAACTTTGGGCTAAATGAGGTAAATAAAAAAATCTATGACAATAAACAATTATTACAGAACTACATTTAAGAATTTTCAAAAAAAAAATAACTATACGACACTTTAGCAAAAACAAAACAAAGCTAAGAATTGATCTCTTTTTTTATTCAATCAGAATTACAGTGCAAAAATTTCATATAATATAGTTTGCCCAGCGAAAGAATACATGACAGTGATACATGACGAACAAGCCCGAGCAATATTCACGAACATGAGAACTCTGTTGAGTAACCAAAGCCTGAGTCTACGCCTACGTTACCGTTTTGTAAAAGGCTACGTATACTCAGTACTACTATATGGCGTGGAGACCTGGACCCTCAAGGCAAAAACTATGAACCGACTAGAGGCCTTTGAGATGTGGATATTTCGAAGATTGCTCAGGATTCCTTGGACTGATCGCGTGAGAAATGACGACGTTCTGCGACGTATGGGAACGGAAAGAATGTTGCTTCAAATAGTTAAAAAACGGAAAACAGCTTACTTGGGCCACATATTTAGAAACACCAAATATCAATTCCTGAAACTGATTATGGAGGGGAAGATTGAAGGAAAACGTGGCATCGGAAGAAAGAAGTATTCTTGGCTTAAGAACATCAGAGACTGGACTGGTCTCGATGCCCATTCACTCTTTAGAGTCGCCCAAGATCGAGACGAATTTGCCAGAATTGTCGCCAACATTCATTAAATGAATACGGCACACTAAGAAGAAGAAGAATACAAATCTATAAATACTAAATGTAAGCGCGTTTATTAGCTTTTTTTAAGTCGTAAGTTAACTATCAAATAAATAATATATTTCAATTATAAGTATGAATTATCTTGAGTGTATTCTAAATATTTCTAAGATTATAAAACAGTGGAATTGTTTGTAGTGCTTTTTTGCAAATTGTTTATAATAACTGTCATCGTGGATACAGAGCCAGCTGGCAAGTCCTGTTTTATGCCATATTTTTATTTTGAAACGTTTTCTTCTATTCTATTTCTTTATAATGTTTTATATTTAAAAAATCAGAGGTATTTTTATAAGGTGTAAGACTATTCGGCAATATTCCGCATGGAAATTAGTATCCGTTCAATGCTTAAAGTCTCCAGCTTTGGAATATGTACAAAAATCTTGCCAATATTTGCCACTGCCAAAAAAAACATTGATTTAAATAGATTCTTAAAGGAAATAGTCTTTACCCTATAACACCCATCCTCGCTCAAATATCGTCTATAATATACAAATAACTTTCTTGTTCTAGCAACCTCATCCAATTGCTTGGTTTTGCACAGAATGGCCCTATTTGATCGGTGGAAAGGGTTTCAGAGTAGAGGAAAAAATATTGTGTAGGAAAAACAAAATGGGGTTCCATATTAGCAACCTCTCCTCTAATTAATAATTAATATTACTAGCAAAAAAATCATAAAACATAATTTTGGCCAACTTTTAGTTCTTAATACCCTCTGTGCGCCGTCGGCGCGTGCAAAAGCAGAAATAAATAAATTTTCGTTCCGGTAAAAGCGAGAACGCCGATGAACGCTGGTTGACGGTGCCTGCCTGCCATCTGCCTGCTTTCACTGTGAACTAGCCGATTTGATAACACGCTTTAATTTCTCAAGGTTATAAGCGTGAGGCGGCGCGGCGCGGGCGCGGCGCTACGATGTACCCATATACAGGGTGTCCCAGAAATAAGTGCAAGTATTTTAACTTAACTGGTAGTATAGTTCAACCCCAGAAACACGCCAATGAGTTTTTTTTCTAAATAATTTTTTTTGAAAATTCGGAATTTTTTTTTAGTTTTTATTTAAAGAAAATAATTTCTTGATAATATGGCAACATAGGTAGTAGATTAAAGTTACAAGAAAGAAAATCCAGAAAAGATCCAGTGGTTCTCAAAATTTTAGCAAAAAATAATTTTTTTTTGGAAATTTTCAAAGTAAAATAACTCCGTTATTTTGGACTTATTTGAAAAACGATAATGAGAAAATATGTTTCTTTTATCGAGATTAGAGGTGTGTAGTTCGTAAACGAACTAGTTCCAATGAACCATTTCGACTCCGGAATGAAAGGAACTAGTTCCTGGTTTCTCAAAGAACTAGTTCCTCAGGACCTGTTCCGGGATCGAGACTGTGACCGATATAGAATGCGACGGCGACGGATCGGCTAGCGCGCGTAGCCCGATGGTAGGCAGGAGTGGGGAGTGCCAGCCGTACGTTATCGGATCCGGACCTAGAGGAACTAAACTAAATAAAAGACTAGTTTACGTACGCACGGATCGGGCCAGCGCGATCGATGCTAGGCAGGAGTGGGGAGTGCCAGCCGTATGCTGTATGTTATCGGATCCGGACCTAAAGGAACTAGAGGAACTAAATAAAAGACTAGTTTACGTATGGATCAGCCAGCGCGATTGATGCTAGGCAGGCGTGGGGAGTGCCAGCCGTATGTTATCGGATCCGGACATAGAGGAAGTATTAAAAGACTAGTTCACGGGAATCTATTCAGTCGGCAGATCCGCGATATAATACAAGGAGACGACGATGGATTCGGCCTTGTCTATTGCCACAGCCGGCGCGGCGTAATTACCACAGAAAATTGTCGTGGATACTGTTTTTGATTTTTACTTTGTTTTTTAAATATTTTATGGGAATGTTTCACTTTAGGTCCCTAAAATTAAAAAATATCTTATAAAATGAAGTAGATATTCTGAATTTTTAGACAAAAACAAAAAGCTTGAAGTGGGGAAAAATAATTTTTTTCGTACATTTTTCGTATTATTTCCTCCAATTGATTTGTGATGTAGTTTTTAAACTCTGATTTGAGTTTCTTTAATTTTTTTATCTGCTATAAAACTTACCTATATGTTTTTAACATATGCAATTACACGTCTTCTTATATTTCGTACATTATAACAATTATAATGATCTGTATAATTTTGAATAGTAAACTGGGGGGTAAATAGTTCTGACTGAAAACGAAATCCATTAGCAAGCAACGGGGATGTCAATGTTAGTCGGGAACTATTTTGAACTAAGGACCCAGTACAAGGAACTATTCTTCTGGAGGAACTAGAACTAAGGAACTAGTTTCTCCCAAGGAACTAGAATTCCCACCTCTAATCGAGATCTACCACCCCTTAAAATACTTGCACTTATTTCTGGGATACCCTGTTTATATCTATACACGTGCTGCGTATACGCAAAGTTGCGAACACGCATCACGTGTATTGTTATAAACAGGGTATCCCAGAAATAAGTGCAAGTATTTTAAAGGGTGGTAGATCACGATAAAAGAAACATATTTTCTCTTTATCGTTTTTCAAATAAGTCCAAAATAATGGAGTTATTTTACTTTGAAAATTTCCAAAAAAAAAATATTTTTTGCTAAAATTTTGAGAACCTTCTTCTTAATGTGCCTTCTCCTCATCGGAGGTTGGCGACCATCAATTGGAATTCCTCCCTGTCTTGAGCCAAACGGATAATTGCACTGGCCTCTCCTATATTAAACTACTGGCGCAAATTCCGCAACCAGGAAAACCGTTTACGCCCGATGCCTCGTCGTCCTTCAGGGTGCAGCCACACTATCCTAAAAACGGCGTATCGGCGTAACGGCGTAATGACCTTGAATAGATTTCCAGTAATTCTATTGGCTGAAACATTCATCTGTCA